TTAACGTGGCTGTAGCGTGTGACCCTTAGCTTTTCAATGAGTGCCACGTGTATAGTTAAATCCATCCAAACTTATTATTACCAACAGCACAAACATCAGCGAAAAGGATTAATATAATCTGCACCCACAGCGGGCGTGTGAAAAACAGTCACACGCACACTATGCTGCAAGTTTAACCAAACGCATGAATTCTTGTCTGCTGATTTTGGATACGGCCCCGATCGATAACGGCAGAGCTCAGTGCAACGTTCTCAAGGGAAATGCTGAGCTGACAGGACTTGTACTCTTAGGATAGCACTTTCCAGGGTAGTTTCTGAACAGCTAAATCCCATCTATCCATCAAAGTTCCTGCTTCTTCCAGCTGGAAAACAGTACTACAAGAAAAAGATAAATTATTCACTTCACTGGGCAAAACATACTTGTCCGAGAAGCGAAACAATCATGACTACTCGGCTGCAAGGACCTGAAACAAGGAAGCATTCCGAAGGCACACCTGCATATTTCCCTTCTAGTGTTGAGCATATTTCTTCAAGACCCTGATATAAGCTGGGAACACTTAATTTCTGGCCTTCATCCCCTTAAACAGACACCGAGATTTTTAAAATGATCCACTGCCCCAGTTTTTCCAGGCACCTGATGGTTTCAAGCAGGTGCTTGCTGCATTTATGCAGGAAAAAAAAAATCTAAGCTGAAGCAGCTGACTTCCCTGGCAGAAAATTACAGCAATTATTTTCACTGTGTGAAAAGTGGTCAAACCACTGTCAACCTACAGATGCAAACAAACACAAACCAATTTCCCCTCCACAAAGTCTCTCCGTCAGCATATACAAACTCTGTAGTGGAGAGAACTGCTGAAGCTCCTGCTTGCTTTCTTCCTCCCGCTGCTCCCAGCAAGATGTCACATCACCCCCTGGCCTAAGACCTCCCAGTGTGATTCCTGCAGCACATTTTGAGGACAAGAAATACTGACCAGGAGTATCTGTAAAGTCTCCTTTTAGTCCCTGCTCCTGCTACAGGGCGTAGGGAGAAGGAGACAAGGAGGAGCCCAAGAATTACCTTGGGGGTCTTTAAGAGGAGGCTGGACAGATGTTTGGCTGGGGTGATATAACCGCGGCACCTGTTCCTGCCCGGGGCAGGGGGTCGAACCTCATGATCTGTTTAGGTCCCTTCCGACCCTAAGCACTATGATACTACGAATTTGCAGTTGGGACTATTGGTCATGCGCCTGACAACGGTAAATGGTTGGGGAGAAGCATCCAGCACTCGAAGTTTGGTTCACAGCATCTCCTGGAGCACCAGCAGTCACCCTGATTCTGGCTCAGAAAAGAAGACAGGAAGAAAAGGCCATTGCATTTAACTGCAACCAGCCATTGCCAGCTCTGGGAATAAACATGTTCAAGGCTGAAGTACGTGATGCATCCTCTGTCAGGGTCAAAATGACATAAACAGCCCCATCTTTTATTGCTGGGAACACCGCAAGACTGACGTCAAGACCAACATCTTAGTCACAAATGTAAAGGATTGGGTGCATGTCTCCCCTCTTCTCTTGGAGCTCAGTCACACGCTTCTCAATCTGATATTGTTTAAATATTTGCACTGTCACTGCTACCTTTTGTGGTCAACTGATCTGCTTTGGATAGTGCTACCCAATGGCCCGGCATTGTGGTTCATTACAGTGAGCCCTGAGCATCTCAAGTCATACAAACTTTGCCGCCAGCTTATCCTAGAGATATGCTGGGTACAACTTGAAAGCTGGGTGGTTCCCATGGACGTTTTCCAGCTTCTTGGCACTGAACTCTCATGAACTACTTTCTCTGAAGACATATCATGTTGAAATCCTTTAGTATTTTTTCTATCAATACCTATTTTTGAGTTGTGAGAACCGTGCAAGCCTGTGATTTCTTGCTGAAGTCCACACATACCTCAGGGTTCTCTACTTTGTAGAGTATTCGCCCGTATTCTGTCAGGAGGAACTATTTCCTGCAGGTTCCCAACAGTTAAAATACCTTGGCAGCCTATTTACACTTCAATACTTTTTAATAGTTTGATTGATAACACTTTTACATTTTTGCAATCAGCATCCACAAGATGTTCTGTCATTACATCCAGATGCTTTCCTTTTACCTGGAAGATTGGATGGTGTGTATGTTTGAAAATGTCTGGAAGGACTATTCACTAGCTCTCTTACCTTCAAAGCAGTTACAGTATTAATTTAAATAAAGGTAAAAAGAAATAACTGACACATGGACGACGCATGACTAGATCTCACCAATTCCCAATTATTTTAACCACACGTAGAACTAGGGGTCATTTTCATTCTGTGTGTCTAGATAAGTACGTATAGTGATTCAGGTAATCTTTGAAAAATCTTCAGAAATGTAAGGATGTGGTGCTAGATCTCATTTTTATTAAAACATCTTTCAAATGAACCATACAGGACTTTGACAGCTGCCTTACAAACCATTGTTTTAGGCCCTTTTAAAACATTTGTTGACTATTTTGTTTCTATGAATATTAACATGTTCCAAAGGAACCCCATAAGGAACGCACGTGCAGTATTTATGCCAAATTTATACAACTACCACATACTTTCTTCTCATGTACAATTTTCTTTATCATTTAAGAACAAGCAAAATTTATTCTAATAGGTGCTTCCATTTCTTCAATGCACTAAATTTCAAATAATGCTCACCTTCAAGAAAAAAACCCACACTGCTTTGCTTCTGTGGAAATGTAACAACACTCTTTGATAATCAGGAGACAAAAATCATCAACTAATGCTCTGACCCGTGAATCTCTGAATGGCACCAGGGATCCCCGTGGAAATTCTGAGCTTCCCATACTCTAGCACTAACTTAAAGCAGAATATTTAATTTCCAGTAAAAAGCTTTTCACTTGGTTTGTGCTACAACACACAGCTTTCTTTTGGAAGGCAAGCTAACCAAGATATGCATGTTTCTTAATGACAGACTGCCCCCTTGTGCCAGTCTCTTAAGTGTGCCAGGGCGCTACTACAGAAGCATAACACATCAGGAAAAGCAGAAGGCAGGGCAGTGTGGCATCTAACACTGCCCTGCCTTCTTCTTCAAGTCAGGAAAGTAAATGCTATTTTGTTAGCTGCCCCTTTACCACATATGGTGAACAGAAGAAATGGCCTAAATGGCCATCGTTTTGTCACTCTTCTAGGGGGACACTGCTCCTTTTCATGCTCCTACGCATATTACTGCATTTAACAAATAGCAGCATAACCTCAGTTTTACAAAAAGAATTAAGCATCAATTTGGAATTAATTCCAATAAGCATGGTGATGAATTAAATCTCATTTGAACAAGACAGGCTGAATAAGCTTGTTTCAAAACACCCTCTATACACAACTGACAATTGGAGACCACAAAAACTTGCCATCTCAAGCAAAATTCCCAGACCGCAAGAGAAGAAAAGAACACAAGACTCCTGTGGACACTGGCTTGGGTTAAGAGAGCACCGTTGATGGAAGATAAATGTTGGTGTCTTTATGTATATATTTTAGAGGACTGGATGCATCTTTAAACGTTATCTGAAAAGTTCATAAATAAAGATAAAAAACAATTCCAAGCCACAAGTCCCCCTGGATAAAGACAGACAGATATCAGCTATTTCAAACACTGAAATCCTCTGCAGAGAGAAGAGCAGCCGAGGAAGTAGTCTTGGGATAGGCTGCCTTTTTTTGTTTTGGTTCAAAATATTTAAAATATCAATTTGAAGTGTTATTTATTTTGGTATGTGCTTTTAGTCTCTTTACCACATAATTAGAATGGACAAATGAAAAGCAGGTGGGTGCTCTGTGCCTAACACTGAGAGGCACAGAAAAAGGAACATAAGCAGAACGGGAAAAAAAAGAACAAAAGCTGAGCAATACTCCCAAACACAGTGGTTACCTGGAAGATATTATGCAAAGAACAAGCAGGAGTGAGAAAAATAGGTCAAACAGTATATTGTTTTATACACCTGGGACACTGCTCCTGTACATTTGCGCTTGTAGGTAGGTGAAGCATCAAAGAAGTTAGAGACACCTAAACATTCACTCTGAGTGTGGACCATTGAACAAATGACCATATTTTCTGGCGTTCAACACTCCCCTCCCAGATTTGGGGGGTGTGTTTAAGCAGGGAAGCTGATTTTCTGTCCAGGATAAAAATGTCCCTTTTGATTCCTGCTCAACAGTGCAACAGCTGTTGCTTTACTATTCAGGCAGATGAGGAGGGTCAACTGACCTAATAAAGGCTCATTATCCTTCACTGAACCAGCAGGACCCTACGTAACTGCCTCTTTTAAGGAGTGTCCTTCATTCACTGCAACCTAGTCACCAGTGCATTTCAGTTTGGTTCGTCCTTCCTGTTTTGTGTAAACGTATTCTATCCTATGTTCTGTCAGCAAACAAACAGGATTAGAAACCCACAACTACTACTGGGTACACAAAAAGGGTCAGGCTTTCCGCTGATATCAAACCAAACAGAAAGGAAAAACAAACAACTAAAACATACAACACATTTCAGTTAGGGTACAAATAAAAACTGGCAAAAATGTCCTCTGACAACAGCACAGCTGAGCCCAAAACGTAATTACTGAAAACTCAACTCATCTCATGGCCGAGAGATGAAAGTGATAGTCAAACAAAAGTTTTCATTTCCTGCCCTTTAATAATTACTTTCAGCCACAAAACATCTGAACTCACAAGAGATAAGGAAGGGATCCATCGTAAGGGAAGAGACTACCTTCAGCCCTACCCTCTGAGCACAGCACCTTATACAGGATGCTTCAGAGGAAGGTGCTAAACCCCAATAATGGCATTTCCCATGGTAGGCTGCAGAGAGGAGGCAGTATTCTGACTCCACTGGTGCTGCATTTTTATATTGCATGAAGAGTGACAACTCCTGTAATCCTCACCCCACCAGCACCTCTAGCACTTATTTAGTGGACACAAACATGCATGATACGTGCAGGTAATCAATAAAACCTACTTTCGAAGGTGCTCGTGTTCTTTCAGGAACAGCTCCGTTCTTCTGTTGTTCACACCAGATCCACTTTTATATGATCTAAGAGATAAAAATAAAAGTGGAAAATAATTTTTCCAGAAGGCCCTGTCACATACAAAGTACTATTTCCTATACTTGTACTTTATGCTCAGTTATTCCTAAACAGACAAATAAACAGTCTCATCATTAAGATTTTTTTTAAAAGGGGGTTTTTAAATTCTGTTACATGATTTATCTTCACTTTCTTCTTCTCATTCCTGCATCTAAGAGTCAGTTTCCAAAGAAAATAATGGAAGCCAGTGTTAACCAGAGACACATGATAATAAATCAGACTATATGGATTATTTTGAACAAGTAACCAAATAACAGCTCACAAATAAAAAGCCCAAAATATTTTTCTATTTCAAGAAAAGATTAGAATTTCTTTTTCTGAGGACACTATTTTCAAATGTATACTCACTAGACAGTGGAAAGGCATGTCTTTCTCCTGCTGTTTCAGAGAGGCTCAACGGAGGTCGAAGGAAAAGTAAACCTCCAAATTAAATCTTTGTTGATAATGTGACAGTATTCCATGTCTAGCAATCCAAGATTTATCATACTGCAAACACATGGGGTTTGAAAAACCATTCAAGATCCTACCCTGCTGCTGTTGAAATCAAAGAGTTTTACCACTGACTTCAAAAGAAGCAGGACACGGGCTGTGTCTGAGGGTGCTTCTATTTGCATCAGTCTCTTAATCTTAACGCGCACACAGAGAGTAGGTGTAGACAGTTTTCAGATTACCCTATGTGTAAAAGTTAGTCTTTGTATTCCAGTATGATTTGTTGAATTGTAAACAACATTTGCAGATATTAATCATCTCTAGTGTGTAAAATTGCTCAGTTCTCAAATCAATCTGCATCTTTTAAAAGCCATTAACTACAATCACAGAAGCTCATAATAAAACTGGATTTTAATATAAAGGCTAGATCTGTGTTAAACAGCTCATTAACAAAACCTGAAAATTGTTCCAGACTGAGTTTCAACATATGGTCTCATAATATATGTGATGTGCTGTGAAATGAGGCACCTCTTGAAAAGAAAAGAACACCCCAAAAATCTCACAAAATATTTCAGACACCAGTGTAACCAATCAAGTCCGGAGCAACAATCCACGCTACTGTTATCACACACAGTGCGACTTACTCAATATCCTTCCGTACCGATCCCAAAAGATTCTCCCTTTCCCGTATTGCCAGAAAGTTTGTTTTGGTTTTATGGAATTCATGAGTGTAATCCTGTAACAAAATAATATCCCATTCAATTATGTCTTGAAATCCAATTTGACAATAGCAATGCTGCCAAGCAAGCTTTGATTGACATTTAAGTACAGTTATAGCTAAGAATTACCAAATGCGCAAAAGCTATTAACTGGGACGTGGAAACCACAGAGTATTTTTAATGAAAAATGTACTACTTCTTCTGCATTGCACTGACTGACTACGATCAAGGTTATGCTGGGATTCTCATCACAGCCCCTCCCCATGTTTGCTCAGCTTTCTCAAAAAGTACATGTTCGAGTCCAGCAACATGAAAAACAAACCACTTTTAGTACAATTAAAAAATGGTTGTGTTTAAATACACTCCAAGTTAAACACATAAATATGAATTTTTTCAGGTAACTAGTACTTGCTAAGATCCAGTTTAACTGACTCTGAAAACCTTCAGCACCACACAAGAAACAAACTATAAGCATTTTATACTCATTTCACCTGCATGCTACATTTTCATTAACTTTCAGCTGACGTTACAATGCTACTTATGTAAAGCTTTAATGCACAAAATTTATAACCCCGTATGTGCTCTCCTATACAGCTAAGCCTGACAAGAGGTGAAGATGCTGTCATAAGAACTTAATGCCTACTTTTAAAAGGAAGTCAAATTAAAGTGTGTGTGTGTGTGTGTGTGTGTGTGTGTGTGTGTGTGTGTGTGTGTGTGTGTTAAGTTGCAATTTTACTCAATGCACAAAAACTTTTTCCTAAGAGCATTAAAACGTCCATGTTTTGGAGCAGCCTCTGACTTCATCTAAACTAACGCCAGCAACTATTTTGGTCTGTGAAACAGGAAGATGGTGTGCAAGAAACTGTTCTGTCTCCAGCAAACAGCAAAATGGGCAGCGGAGATGCAGAAACTTATGACTGAGCTACAAAATTGGGTAATTTAAGATCTAACCAATCATACTTTCAAAGGATACCATACACTTGAAACACAGCTAGTTAAGAACAATAAACTGAATCGTTTCAGATATTACACCTCCCCCCACATGCCCCGATCAATTTGTGTGGCTCTTACAATCACATTTCCCTATGCAAAATAAAGAAATAAATTTGTAAAAAAAAAAAAACCAATGCAAGAAGAGTGATTTTTAAATGGACTCTGCCCCCCTCCCAAATAGTCTCTCTCATACAAAAAAGCATGTGAGCTTTGGCCACTTGATGAGCTGACCCGCAAGTGCTACTTGTGGAGCCTGGAAATTCCCAGGTCAGGAATCTGGACGCAGGTTCAGTTTGTTAAGGTGGATACCATTCACACCTCATGGCAAGATGCATTTTCAATTATAAGCCTTCTTAGATTATTACACTATATGGCACTACCCAAAATACTTTCCGTCTGAGGGGTGTTAGAGCTGTTCTTTTTTATGACAATGGTACCAGGTGTTTTCTGGCTCAGTATACATCAGCTATTTTGAATACAGTTTTCATTCTCCCTCACAGCAGAGGAATTGTTGACTACTACAGAGAAAAGGTCAAAGACATCAGTATTGCAGCCAATGCCTTCTTAGAATGGCATCCCTGACTGAGCACTGGATGTCAGTTTGTAGCAGCTGCACAATGTATTTGGGAAGCTAACTAGGAAAAATGCCTAATAACTAAGAAGCATTGCATATAATTTCACACTGAAACCAGGTTGGAACAAAACCTGAAAGACTGCGTAGATCTCTTGGGACTGCTGGAGCATTCATCCTTTTGCTCCACAGGAGTTTCACTTTTGCACTGAATGCTTTCAATTGCCTTTTGACTAGCTTCCTTAGTGTAGTTTTCCCTTCATCTATAAGTCCCAACAGCAATTAAGGTGGCATAAATACTAGATGCTAACAAAACAGTAGACTAGAACCTACCCAAGAAAACTTCAGTGTAACAGTAGCTTCGTCGTATCATTACAACTTAAGCAGAAAGCCCAAGGGGTCAATGTTAGAAAGATGACACACACTTGTGAAGACAGAACTGTATATACAGTTCTACCCATGAGCTCTTAGAAACAGAACAAACATTTGCAAATGAGATTAACTATTTCCTGCTAGTTACTAAAATCCTATTTTCTAGAATCTTCTTGGATTCTTTTTAATCAGACATTTCAACCTAGGATGTTTGGTCACATCCAGCTGAGGACATTTGTTTCTCTGTGACTAATATCAACATTTTAGGTTATACATGCAAAGACATCCAAGCAGAGGATAGCAGGAAGAAGTGCCGCAAAGTATTATTACATTGAAGCCACAGCATTCAAACAAGCAGTGACGGTACTGCATGCAGCTGTTACCTGCAATATGTCTCTGTGACGCTGTAACGTATGCATCAGTGCCGCGTTCAAGGACGGGACCCCTGCGCTATTAGCGTACTCCGCCATTTTGTCATTTATTCCTGTAAGCTATATAAAAAAAAGAAAAAAGAAGGAATAAACTTTCCCTGAAGGAGCTTTATGACAGGCTATGTTGGAAGAGTGAATAATACCAATCATTAACATGCCTTCAGCAAGAAGTATCTACTTTCTGCAGTTTCTAGTGTTAATGAAATGGTTTTTGTTCAGTGGGTGTGCACTGCAATCTCATTTCATCAAACGCATTTTCTACATCCTACACAGGAACATATGACTGTTACATCTATTAACATCAAGGCCTTCAAATCCCTGTTAGGTATTCAAAAAAGAAAAAAAGTCTCTCCATTACCCTTCCCAGGAGCTGCTCGATCTCCACAGCCATGGTTTCAAACATTCTGTCTTGGCTTGATCCGTTTAAGAGAGGAGTTGTGTCAGAACTAAGGGGAAAGAAAACAGCAGCAATTACTGGAAGGCCCATCTTTTTGTGAACACTCAAAGTGCCAATACTGGGCATAGGTACAAGGGCGATTATATTTTCTAACTAGGCTTCTTCAAATGAGAAATTATATTTAGAAAAAGATAATATATTTTTTCTCATACGAACTGTGGCATTAGTCCATTACTGTAGTCAAGAGTATACAGGACCTTGGAACAGAAACCCCCCAAAGAAGCCTACCCCCTTCTGGAAGCTAATGCCTGGCACAGAAACGTACTGTAGATCAGGTCAGAAATCATTCTGTCTTCACACTTAATGGTTTCCCCCTCCACATTTTTTTTTGTGCTCAATTCCAGGTTTGCAAGGAAGTGTGTTACAATCATTAGGTAAAGATACATTAGTAACAGAAATGTTAGGTTCTCCCTGCTGATAGATCTTATGCAAAGTTAACATGCTGCACAAGAAAAACCGGGGTACGTGACAGGGATTGGTCTACATAGTCCACCTCCCCTCTCCTTGTCAAAAAGTTAAGACCACAACACAAACGACACAAAGTGAGAGGACAGAAGTGAACAGGCAACACCAAGATACAGAAGAGTAACAGCATCCACCTTTTTAGCAATACTCTTCACTCCAGTTATTGGTATAAGAGGAGGAAGGAAAACTGGTTCTCATGCTGTCTCCTGGCATTGTCCCAAGGAGGCAGAGATCAGTGTAATGTGCAAGGTACTCTGGAGTACTCTGTCTGGAGCAGAGCGAAAGAACTGCTTCAGTAAGATATGAGCAGGGTGCGTTTCCAGGGGTGGAATCTCAATCTGCTAAAACAAATACCAGGCACTGGGAAAGGGAAATGAAACAGACTAGATGAAATCAACAGTAGTGGTGCTTCTCTTCTCTGCGGGGGAAAAGGGGACCAACATTAACAAAGCCCTGGCAGTCCTGCATGGCTCACGCCTGTTCTTCCATGTCTGAGCTCTAATATTTATATTTCAGAAGCAGTGACAAATGCCATCCAGGGATCAGAGTCCAACTGTATTTGGTGCTACATATATGCATATGTCATAAACTGCCTGCCCCAGACAGCTCACAGTCTCAGCCTGTGACAAGCCACTCATGGGCACAAGGCTACCAGAGAAGCATGGGGGACAGGGTGACAGCAGGACGTTCACACTAAGCATCAGTGGCAGACACGAGATGCTGGTATTTCAGAAAAAAGGTGCCATCAGGTGAGGATCTCTATAATTTCAGGCCTGGAGTGAGTTCCAGAACAACCCCACTGCAAGAGGCTCACACTGAACACGCACTGACTGACAAGGGGAAGGCTGCATCATTGGTAAGGTTAACATTTTGGAACCAAAGATGGAAAATTACCTGGCCCACAAGGTGGGGAGGACTTGTAAATGTAATCTCTTTTAACCTGCCATCAGCAGGTTAAAAGCTTTTCCTTTTTTAAAAACAATTTGGTTCTCAGTGTTAATCCTGGAGGAAAACTCAAAACAGCTCCAGCTGCTGCAGTCAGAGCAGGGGGTTGGAGGAACCTCTCCAGTTCTATTCCTTGCTGTCCCACTCACTCTCTGTGCATCCTTGGAGAGCCCTAGCAGCTTTGGGCCATGATTTCCTTATGTCTGAAATGGGGAGCGTGCAGTGACCCTGCCCACGTGGAGGGTTGTGAAGTGCCTGGCAAGCGCTTGCAGGTCTTAAGACTGAAGGCCATAAAGAGTTGCAATGTATTAACTGGTGCATATGCACCTTGTGATGGACTGTGCAACGCAAGCTGCACCGAGCAGGCTAGGTCTCATACCCATCCACATGCTGCCGACATCACCACAAATAGAAGCTTAATTGCTGTTCTGCCTAACGACAGCACCAGAGATGCTCCAACATGACCACGCACTGCCCCCCATCCCCACACAACACGCCCATTCAACATCACACCCGGATCAGAACACGGCTGGTAGTGCAAAGCAAGAACTATTCTACCGAGCAGTTTGGGAAACTGCGCACGAAACCACAAAGGAAGTCTGAGGAGATTAAACCAAGCCCCAGATCAGCCAAGAGTAGTGGAAGCAGCCTTCTTTAGCAAATAAACAGTAAGAAGTCTGGTAGTACCTATACCTGTCGCGTCTTCCCTCTCGGGCGCTGCTGTGGCTATAGCTCGTGCATAGTTTGCTGAAGGAGACCAGCTTCAGGTCGAGCTCATTCTCTAGCTGCCTGGCCTGTTTCCTGAGATCTGGAAAAACAATGGTAAGAAGCAGTAAATGTACAAACAGGTCACTGCCTTGCCCAACACACTTGGGTTTACTTTGGCAAGGTTTAGGTGCGTAGCCTAAAGAGGAGGAAACTAGAGTAGAAGACGGCATCATTCAAAAGAAGAATCAGGCCGAGATCAATTACAAAGGAAACAAAAATCTCTCAATGTACGCACAAGTCCAGTACACTCGATCACCGCTGAGCAGATCAGCAGCCCAGAGGTCCAGCAGGATGGGAACCGTCTCTCCTAATCACATACAACTTTCTGGACGAAGTACTGGAGATGGCAGCGTTTCCAGCTTTAGGATCTGCATGCTAGGAGCACATCCGATTTCTGACACGGCAGCGATGATGGTACGAGCACCCAGGAACACAGAGCAACGTTCCCGTGATGGTCTCATGACTGAAACGGCTTCCCCACCATGAAGCAACGACACTCGGCCCTCTTGACCAGAGCTGGCGTTTCACGTGCTTGCGAGCGCCACAAAACCAAGGCACCGAGGGGAAACTACAACCTACCAAGACTTAACCGAGTACGTATTTCTTACAAGCTTCTTTAAGGGAAGGTTTCCAAAAGGCCAGATCTGATTTAAATCGTTTTAAGCGAGTCTCACGCTCTTTAATCCCTTTGGCATTTTTTAAAGTTTCCCTCCTGAAAGTCACTCGACCGGTACCAACCCTCACAGCGTATCGGGTCTCTTCTCTCCTCAGATGTAAGCAGCAGCCAAGGCTTCTCTAGACACGCAACACTCTTACGAGATAAGATCCAGGTGAACGAGACAAAATTTGACCTGCTTTTTATTTTTATAGCCACCCGAACACACCAAATGCGTATATAAGATCTTCCCCCGAACACGCTTCAACGAGCGAACCTGCCGACCTACGGACAACGCCCCTCGGAGCGACACGAGCGGGGCCGCGATGTCTCGGGGGAACTCCTGCATCGCACCAACGGTGCCGGCGGGCGAGTCGGGCAAGCTTTCGCCTGCGAGACACTCTTGCCTCTCGCACAATTTGCGGCCCGTCACGGGTACAACGCCACGCTTACACTACCGCTCTGCTCAACGCACCCCCCATTCCCACGCCAGCTTCGACGCGGAGATAAATTCAGACGTCTACCGTGCGTTTTCACGAGGCGCGGGGCGGGCATGGGGTCGCGCCACACGCGGGGGGCCCCCCTAGGCCTCCCCTCAGCC